AACTCTGGACCCAGGGAGGGAGAGGGGCTGTGTACTGACAACCTGGGAGCAGGCTTGCAGGGTGTACCCTTTGGTTGGTTGATGATGCATGGAGAGGATTATAACCATGGCAATGAAACGATATACGGTAGTATGAATGTAAAGGTAATGTTCTCCTATGTAAACTATCACATAATTCACAATAAAACATTTAAAAAAATTCCTAACTCAAAAATAAAAAAAATGATTACATAATATTCTTGAAAACAAGAGTGTGATGCAGTCACCCCATGGATGCAGCCTTTTGAATGGAAAGCATCCTAGGGCGCTGGTTGGAGTCCTTGTCAGTTATTACGGTACCTGGGTCCATTGTGTTAACCTGAAAACCCATTTCCTTCGGGTCAGTTCAAACTCATGGTGGCCCTGTGTGTTACAAAGCAGAGCTGCCCCATGAGGTTTCCTTAGACCAAGATGACCAGCTCTCTGTTCTGTAGCACCACTTGGTGGCTTCACACCGCTGGCCTTTGGGTTAGTAATTAGGGACTTTATGCTCTTCTTTATATTTCTCCCCAATTTTTCTCTGCAAATGAATCAGCATCATGAGGGTCGGAGAGTACTGGATTGTGTATTCTGAAGGGCTGTCAGAATCCTATATTAAACCCCACTGCCTTCATGCTGACTCCTAGCAACCTGCCTGGGATTTCTGGGACTTAAGTCTTTCTGGGAACAGACAGCCTCATCTTGCTCTATCAGAGAGGTTGGTATGTGTGATCCACTGACCTTGCAGTTACCATCCCAGTGCTTAACACACTGGACCACCAAAACGCCTACAAAGTCGAGGATGTTGTTGTTTTTATTAAGGGCCATCGAGTAGGTTCCAAATCATAGCAACCGTGTATAGGATTTCCAGGGAGCAGCTGATGAGTTTGAACTGCTGGCCTTGCAATTCAAACGACCTTGAGGTCCAGTGCGTATCCTATAGCTCCACATCAGGTTCTTGCTGCGTTGTTAAGTGTCTTCAAGTGGTTCCAACCCATGACGACCTTGTATAGGGTTTCCAAGGAGTGGCTGGTGAGCTTGAACCGCCGATCTTGCTCCTCAAACCGACTTTGCGGTCCAGCTCATTAACCCATCCCACCACACCTGGTTATTGTTAAATGTCATTGAGTCACTTGTAATTCATAGTGACCCTGTGCAGTGTTTCTGAGGAACGGCTGGTGGATTTGAACCACCAACCTTGAGATTAGCAGTCCAGTGCTTATCCAACAGCACCGCTTGGAATTCACCTCTCCAAGGACGTGAGTGCAAGAAGGCAGTTTGTTGGCGTTACTGGTTGCTATCAAATCAGCTCTGAACTCATATTGACCCCATTTACAACAAAATGGGCCGTCCTCTTCCAGTTGGTTTATATCCACTGGTCCAGTGTGGGGTCCACTTTGTCTTCTGAGTGCCTCCCAATCCATGTGCTCATCTTCCAGCCTTCTATTAGACCGTGTTCTGTGTGATCCATGGAACTTTCTTTGGCTAATTTTGGAAACAGATCACCAGACCTTTCTTCCTCGTTCTGACTTTAGAAACTCCACTGAAACCTTTTTCCCATGGGTGACCTGGCTGGTATTTGAAATACAGTGATGCAGCTTCTAGCCTCACAGCTTCACGCCAGCCACACAGCGGTGCGAGAAAGGAGTAGCAGCTTGAGAAATTAGCTGCTTTCCGTCCGGTCAGTAAAGATGTTAGCATGGCAGCAAAAGCAAGGCATTTCGTGCAGCGTCCGACCGTGGAGCACTTCTCACCCTGCCGCCTGGCTCTCTCTCTGCCCCTCCAGATCCTGGCTAACGTGATCATCTTCATCTGCGGGAACCTGGCGGGTGCCTACCACAAGCACCTCATGGAGCTAGCCCTGCAGCAGACGTACCAAGACACATGCAACTGCATCAAGTCCCGCATCAAGCTGGAGTTCGAAAAGCGTCAGCAGGTAACGGGAACGGGGGCCCCATTTCCATCAGGGCATGGGCAGAAATGATGTCTTGACTGCCAATGGCGAACAATACGTCTGGGAGTCAGGAGGAAGGCAGGGGAGTGGACCCTTGTGCCCAGCTGGGCTCTGCTCCCTGATGGGTTAGGTCATAAACATCAGAACAGCTGGTGGAGGCCTGATGGGTCTTTAGACAGGACCCTGGAGCCCCAGGCAGGAACCTCACCCACCTCAGCACCCCATCATCACACAGACAGGACCCTGGGACCCCAGGCAGGTACCTCACCCACCTCAGTACCCCATCATCTCACAGATAGGACCCTGGAGCCCCATACAGG